GGAGAGCCTCTCCTGTTCCTGCACTGTCCAATTTTCGTGGTGGTTGTTGACACTTCCAAGACACAATCATCCAACCGTCCTTGAAGTCTTCTTCACATTCATGAGCAGTGCACTCCTCTTAGCCAAAAAAAATTGCATTCACTTACCACACGGTGTATGCACGGACCCACTGTCACCACTGCAATGGTAGAGCCGAGGCGAGACGACCCACATGTGGCGCCATCTGCGAATAAATCAAACTCGACAGTCAACCACGGTGACACAGTCTTGCACCCACTCGCCTTGAACATCTTCACAATTTTCGGGGTCAAGAGAAGTGGACTTTTCGAAGGCTTGGCAAATAACTATCAAAGACTGTTTCTGTTGGTGTTGCTTTCTTTGCTCCACCTCAGTGACGCAGGACAGGCAACAGACGAGAAGACAGAAGAAAATATACCTCAAGAAGGACAAGAAAAGCCAACAAGAAGACGAAAAAAGAATACATTTATTAAACTTTTCCAGACAGAAACTTGTTTACAATTTGACTAATGGGAAAAAGATGAAGAGAAAAGTCAAGCAGTGTGTGCGTGCGATGTGAATTCAACCGGACGTTAATTTTGCCTCCAACCGCTGGAGTGTCTGCGAAAGGGACTGCAGAGAGGCAACCAGTTTTTGGAACTCGTTTCTACAGTCCCCTTCGTCTTCACCCCCTCTGGGTCCGTTAATGTTGGAGTAGTCGTGTGCATTTATAAGTCCCACTGAATTGTTCAGAGGAATGCGATCAAGACGGTAGTAGAGGTAAACCACAGAGACAGCGAGAAATGCCAAACTGAAAGAGAAATAGACGTTGGTTTCCCATCACAGTGCACCCTCCACTGAACACATACCGAAAGTCTTATCGAGGCAGTAAACTAGGAAATACACCGAAGTGCCTACCAGGTACGAAGACTTCGCTTAGAGAGATCTTGCTATTAAGGCGTTGGAAGAGAGTCCACCACCTTCCACTTTCATCTTGAAGTCATCCTCCTCAAGAGCTAACAATAGGCTAACCTGCCCTCAAAATATGAGCCTTTACAATGTCTTTTCCACCCCTCCAGGCAGCAGTTTGCCGGAATTGGTCATTGTAAACTTGTGAAGAGCGTGTGATGGGCTTGTGACCCAGTTACGAACGGTGCAATGAATTTTGTGCAGGCGAAATGTGCGGTCAAATTCACATCATGAAATGGGAGCGCCAACTCAACTACGAGTCCTGCAATATTACATGTAGCTGCCTGTCTCAAGCCCGTGAGACGAGTGTGCTCAATAGAGGATCAGGAGAAACGGTACGCGGGAGAGAAAGTCCAGATAAACCCAAGTTTGAGTAGTGGACCGGCCCGCTAGACCATCACCAGAGACGATGATAAGAGTGTGTCCCATCGTTTTACCAGGCATTCTAAAGGTGTTGCTGAGGTTCTCAAGGACATGACGAACTTCAAGGAAGGGTGTCAAATGGAGGAGAGGATAAGAAGCTCGAGGTAACAACTACAAAAAAGTATCGACTTAGTAGACTCAAATAATACAGAACCTGAGTAGGAATGAAAAGAGAGATCAACAAAAAATTGTTGGAAAGGCGACGATCAAAACTGAGTGGGAAGCCTAAGGGGTGAGGCCAGTCCAATTTCGTGCACTTGACGAGACTTTAATGCGGAAATTAGTACATGCATTGTTATGCGTTGAACGCGTTTTGACCGTCCCTTTAGGAAGGGGAGAGGTCAAGCAACGGGTGTTTGGCTTCGCACAATCTCAAGACGACTGAAAGCCCATTCGACACATTTGCTTGTAGTCTGCATTTTTTGGAAATATTGATGGCCCAAAACGGCGCGATGTCGGACATGAAAACTAATTCTTAAACTCGGCTACTTAGTGCTCATGCATCAAACTTATCAACTCCAGAGACCGAAAAAGAAACATTTGGTTATTTGTAGTGTGTTCGAGAAATTTGTGAGTCGAAAGAGTCAATGAAACCCCTCGATGACAAAACAAAAAGCCCTAAACTGAGCACAAATATGGGACGAAAATCCTAAGCGTAAAAGTAACGCTATGGTAAAAAGAACAACTGCCAAGATAGAGATACACAAGAATGTTATTTGAAACCAGATGAAAGACGGTACTCCAGGCACTGAACAGTAAATGGTAAAGGACATGAATTTCTGAAATAATGAATTATTAAAGCCACAAAGCCAAAGAAACCGGCGGCATTTAAGAGTAGAGCAGATCTTCTACGCAAATAGGCGCAAGGTAAACGAGATAACGATCGAGGAGATCAAAATTGGGGGCGGCGTAGAGCATTTGAAACGCACAGGCCAACAACGAGGACACTTTGCGCAATAAAAGTTATAAAATGGAGGCGGCGAGAAATGAAATGAATTGAATTGTATGCCAAATGAGCAATGTAGCGAAGCATTCGCGAAAAAATTCTGGTCCATATCATCACCTCTACAACACTGAATCAAGAACATCAATCCACCCACGAACAGAATTAACATCAAACGTTCGACCGTTCAGAATGAGGATAAAGGAAATTAATCAAAGTGATATTTGATGACCCAACGATAGAAACAGAGTGTATGGCGTTACAGCTATAACGCTACTGGATTCTAGAATGAAGGTTAGACGCAGTTTTAAGGGAGTACACAAACGATCCAAATGAAGTGTTAAAGCCAACCCCTTCCACTATTTCTTGATCAAAGAAATTATAAAGAGAAGTTAAAGCGAAATGAGCTATTGATTGTGCCAATGAGAAGAAATCGAGAGTCTAAAAAATGACTAGATAAAGGAATACATTAGATGCCTTAGTTCGCCAAAGCAAGAACGATGTCTATCGGGACTTCAACGTTCGTAAAGAACCCAGAGGAACAAATGAAAGGAGTTAATCTGCAAGAATGTTCCAACCAAAGTGAAGGCACGAGGGAGCACTAACATTATATAGGCCAAAAACCTGGTAAAAGCCCGGGGCGGTTGAAAGCCAAAGGGAGCAGCCTGTAGCGAGCTGGTCGCCATGGAAACGGCGAAACTGATTATTCTAGTGAGGAGAAGAAGGGGAATGCACGAGGCCTTGTAAGCCACATCGGAAATGGTCGATAGGCCGCTGGTGCCACCACCATCACTGGTGATGGACTTAAAAGCCAAAGGGGGAGATGAAGACGCGGATTGTCGAGCAGAAAGACTGTTTTTCGACCCTAAGAAGATGTTTGAGATGAAAAATAGCCCAAACAACATATACAAATCATGCTCTTCACCGACTTACTAGCAGGTTTGGTTGGGGGCTCGATGGGTAGGGGAGAGTCACAGACCTTTCCATCCGCTGAAGCGGGTGACTGACGAGAAAGCGGTTTTAATGAAACACCAGCATTCCCGACAGAATTCGACTTTTTGATTAGTCGGAGGTAGTTAGAAATGAAGGCCACACCAGATTCACCACTAAAGTCGGTGAATGTGTGTTTCTGAAACAGGCACAAACACAAGGTTCCACGACTGGAGATAAGGCATCGGATTATTTTTGTAGAAAAGTAAAGAACTAACCTGATTGTAAGCATATATGTTAACGCCTGAGGAATGTGTCTCATACTTCTCTATGTCTTCAAGCCGAATCACTACCTGAGAAGGTTTAGCAATGTACACAAAGCTACCTTACCTGAAGATTTTTCAGCTTGCTCTCAACAAAACAGAGAAAATTGCTGGTAACATAGAGCTTCCCATAACTTGAAATGAAATGTGAAATGTGTACACATTTGTAGCGTTTGATGAGAATTTCAGAAGAGTCCTTTTCAAACAATTCTTTGAATTTCGACGGCAGATCAGGGTCGCTAAGTGTAACCGAAGAACGAAATTTCAGTATTGAGTGTTTCGACTTCAGCATATTAGGCTCCTTTTCTTCATATGCATTTGAAGGTGAGGAAACTTCTTTGAAACGTACAAGTTAAGTGAATAGTAGCATACCATCGTTAAGAGAAGTAAATGGCTTCTCGTTCAGAGGGAGGTCATCAACATCCTTGGATCTTTTACCAGAAAATGACAGCCTAAATGGGAGAGTTGAAAGCCTTATTTGGGATACCTTTTGGGATGAAGGGACTTCAATATATCCATTAGTATCCTGTGTAACACTGGAATGTACTGGATATCGGACCATCAAAACGCCTTGATTGGGGCGTTTAGTGGCCCCTATATGAGCCCATTATAGCACGATCAACCTAGACATTGTGACATGTAATTCATACAAACAAGACTAGTTTCAAAATATTAATCACTTTTATGAGTGGTTTTTTCAAAATCTATGTTTTACGGAAATCAGATGCGAAAATGGGACAATTAACATCAAACACAAAGTTTAAGACCGGATACACATTTACGATCTCATGCTGGAGTTCCTCAGTCTCTCGCGTATAATTCTGTGCGCAAAATTTCAGAAGTCTCTATAACCCAATCCATTAGTGACGAAAATTAAACGACCTATCATTATTTGCCTTCTCTTGAGCCAGTGGCGATCCATGACGCTTATGCGCGCTGCATTCTTGTATTCATGTGAGCGTAGGTGATTTAGGTGTGATGATTAAAAGTTGGGCCCGGCAACAAAACCTTAAAAGTCATAGGGCACTTTAGCTTAGAAGGCGTCCAGTATCTGGCCCCGATCTGCCAAATTTCTACTTTTCTTTAGCCATCCGGATGAAACGTACAACACTCCCCCATTTACTGCATGTAATATGTCCTTAGTCTGAATGACGATTGCACTTTGTCTGTCAAATGTACATTGCGATTCGTGTTCCCTCGACTACTCTACAGGCAGCCAAATAATCACCCAACGCTGACTGTGGCGGTGATCATGTCGATGGCTAATGACAGCAATGCTCCGAGGATCGCATCATAGAAATCGTAATTTGTGTGTGACAATCGAGTCTTTCATCACAGCACTCCATTTTTGTCTACCCACACTGTTTGTGTACCCAAAACGTTGTTCCCACATCCCCACCCTAATGCCACTCAGTACTTATCGGTGTGCGAGGCGAGTGAACTAGATGGGGTGGAAGTTAAAATGCACCTGTCGATTTGGTAGCACTTGTTTTGCCAACAAAGTTGTGTTTACTTTTGTCTACAAAATAAACAGAACAACTTTGCTAGATTCTAACCGAAAATGTCAATCACCAGAAGCCAGTTTGATACTACATTTCATTGTACCAATAATTGTTAACCTGAAACTCATAGGCAAACGAGCGTAGACGAGAGAAAAGGTGGAGGAAGGGGCGGAGTTTGTTACTTTCTATGTAACTTTGGCAGTAATCGACATCGATTGAGATTTAGCATTGTCTTGAGTATAAACCACTCTTGTGTGCTCTCACAAATCGTCCAAATCCTCCAATGTCAACACATCACCTCCCCATTGGCTTTCTCCTCGCAATCTACTTGCTAGGTAAGGTGGATTTTTTGTAGCTCCCTCAATTCTTCCTGACATTGTTGTGCATTAAAATTGAGACGCTTTGGAGTCCCATGGTGGACTGCATTGCGCCTCTCCGCTTTGGCCTTCCAAGATTATGGAGAGGGGAAGGCGAAACCCAACATTTGACAGCCTTTATCAGGCGTTATCACCCCAAGTTCTCTTAATAAAACAGCAGAATTACAGCCTCTGTCTGTGCTTGCAGCTCCCCTTTCGTCCCTTCAGATGGGACCGCCCAAAAAGGGGGATAAGCGTAGCTCGTGAAGTGCCTGCGACAAACACCTTCTTGTTGACAATTGCCATTGATGTGTTGTTGACATTCTCGTGTCCACCAACGTCCACATCATCAATCTACTACTTAATTGAGGCCCTCAGCCCCAAGTTCTAGTCTATGGCTGGATTGTGTTTATCGTCGACACCAGGATTGAAAGTTGAAAAGTAAAAAGCCAAAACAAACCCACTCTCCCCGCACCTTAACGTTTTATTTTTCAAAGGCACAGTCTTTTAACTCACCCCTTCCCCACCATTTACTGGTTTTAAGTCATCCACATCTTATTTCCATGTTTTTCGTTCTCCTCTCTTAGAGTTGACAACATGTTGCCGGGTTGAGAAGGAGTGCTTACATCACAGGACTTTTTGTGACATGCGCTCTCCCACCTGCTGCGGCAGGATGTGGTGTGCCAACGACGGCACTCGAGACTTTATGCCAAAGTACTATGGCATGTGTCTGGACCCCTACGTTGATAAGATAGCTGTTGGAAGCTCCTGCTCAGTCAAAGACTAATGCCACCCCCATCCTTGGTGCTCTTAATGACTAATCTGGGGTTTGATGGGATTGCGAGGGTTCGTGGATGAGCGCTTGAATGCATTCCACTCATAAATGTGTCAAGGAGGAGGAAGTAATGACCGTTGTCATGAGTTGTTAAGCCTTGGGTGTGTATGTGCACGTGTGGGATGAAAATACGGCATTTAAGAATGGGTTTGCATGAGTGATAGAGGTGAGAGGAACTGGAGAATGGAATGGAGTCAGGTTGGATGTATAGACGTAACGAAAATGGTGTCGCTGTGCTAATGAATGTGGCTCCTGTTGCTTCGCTTGGAGAAACAGGAGGCCAAGACCTTAACGTCGGAGCTGCCGAGTGGCTTAAGTCTTTGGATGGAGTTGATTGTGTTGCCTACGGTTTCAAGATGGCGCTGAAGCCTTCAAAATCTCGCGCCTTGCCATACAAAGTGACGGCGTGGAGAAAAAGTTCTTAGATGGGTTGAAGTTGGTCACCCTCAAAACCAAATACAACGGCAAGTGAAGTCGTCCTTGTCAATGAAATCGTAAGACCCAACTTCAAGTGCGATCACGAGGTTAGAAGAGCCTTTCCTGCAACAAAGTTGTGTCGCGCCTGGAGTCGCTGTGATGGCGGGGAGATTTCTTCCATTCCATTAAGGCGGCTGTGACTAAACTTTAAAACTCTACTCGAGTCTTCTCATATGCTGTTGGAGGCTTTGATAGGGCAACTAAGACCGGTTGCCAACGCGTCCCCAATGAGAAGCTCAGCAAAGTAAACGAGCTATTCATTCTTCCACCCAACACAAACTACAAAAAAGGAGGAAAAAAATGTAATTCCAGCCAGTGTAAAGCACTTTATGCCACTTCGGTGACACCGAATGGGTCCATTTGACATCACTGCAGTGGTCAAATCGCCTTCGCCTCATGTGACGAACACTTGAGGTGGATCGTGTGCTGCACTCCACTGTGCCAACACTCAGAGGAGGTGAGAAGGGAAGGAGCAATGCTAGAAGGACAGCGATACATTAACTTTTTTTAATAGAAAAAAAACTGACGGAATGGGCTGACGCGAACCTCTCAATGTCGGCAAAGGTCACTCTTGCATTCCTCCTACTTGCGTCCTGTCAGCTTGGTAAGAAGTACGACACTTTGATTTGCCCCTCTTTGGGATGTAATTCGTTCAGATCATCATGATCGACAGTTTTGCTAATGCTATTTTACATTTGGACTGAATTGCCAGGAGTCTCAAGTGAATTGTGAGTGCGTACCTCGTAGTAGGCGAAGTGAGGTTAAATGCGCACCTTCGTTGTGTGGGAGGAGGCATGACGTCGCCTCCAGACGGCAGAAGAAGTGACCATGAGGCCAGAGAAATGCACAACTGAATGCAACTTTGCATTGCAGACCTTGAAAGGCCATCAAAGGGAGTTTCTTTAGGTGCAAAAGTACTAAAAATGTTTACTCGTCCACTTGCATAACATTTTTCACCCTTTTAAACTTAACAAGTAGCTGTTTTGGAAGTTAAAATTGCCAACTTCACAAACATTCTTGCGAGGTGCGTAAATTCAAATTATGTGGCACAATTATGCACCCTAATGGCCTCTTCATGACCTTTTCAGAGTTTACCAGTTACCCTCCCTTCCTCTCGTCAAGTTCAGGCACGCATCACTCAAGTCATCACCAAGCCAAACTCCGCCTCAAAGGAGTTGTGACACGAACCAGTCCCCATAGGTGAGGGGTAGGAACTAGACCAACGACGCGAATTCTTGGGTCGCTAATCAGAGGTCAGCCTCATCGCCCACACCCTAACACGAATCATCTACTAACATGCAAGGATGATTGTTAGAGCAAAGAGTATCATTTAGTTGACTGAATAACAATTGTCTGCAACATTACTCAGACAAATGCAATGTTATCAAACCAAAAAAACTAAAATTTATGCTTGAAAAGTTTGAGACCAACGTAAAAATTGATGGTTCATCAAGCTTAATTAAGTAGTATAATGATAGAAACATTGGAAAGGAATAATATTTGCTATAATGAAATCATTATAAATTTTAAAAGCACAGACGTAAGAGTTAATCATATCAGCATCTTTAAAAGTGGTTGTCAGTAACACAGACTAGTAAAATGAAAGTATTCCATCCTCCTGACAATTGCTCCGCTCGTGCACCCACTCGCAGCCTTGACGGGAGACGGGGCCAGCAGCTGCATACAGCAATGACAAATCCTGTAGAATAACGAGTGTATATTCGCATTTAACTTCTCTATTGTACCTTCCTCCCCACAAGATTGAGGAGTAAAGAGGCGGAGATTTGTGACGCTCAAGTGTCTCCCTGTTGGTGGCTTCGGCACAGTGTGGTACAGTGGGTTAAACTGATCTGTTAAAACCGGAGGGAGGAGCGCTGCTTAGCCGTGCTTCACTTATCCAAGACATGCAGAGCAATTTTGAAGAGTGAAATAGGTGGCACGAAATTGTTGCATAGACATGTTTAAGAGGTAAAGTAGACAAAACGGTAATAATCCAGCTTGGCAAGGGGATTAGCGCAGCCAATGTGCATTTTACTTAACTTTATTTTTTGTGGCGTTATTCAAGGTCATTCTTGACAGGCGTTTCGCCATACACTGGAACTAAGAGATGACCTCCAAACGCCAGGTAGTCACATAAACAAAACATCACACTACCCCTCTCTTCTTTTGAGTCTCGTTCTCAGTGGTCCCCTCGGTACAGCTCCCGCACCAGCTATCACGACATATTCGATACTACAGGAAAGCACCCACGAGCCAACCGCACCAGTCGACAGATAGCATGTGACTGAGGTACCGTACTTGGTCTCCTCAATTGCTTCCAGGACTAGATGATGGAAACCTGGTCTACAACATATGTGTTACAGATAAAGCGGGGTGAGACACTGTCTCGTATATAAGGGGAACTGTAGTGTCATCTACAACGCCTATACACGGATTTTGTATGGCAAATTCCGACACAAAACTTCTCCAGATAGTTCACGGCGGTGTCGCTTCATTTGTTAGTAATGTGCCTCTAAAATGCAGGAATAAAGTGAAACCAGATGCGGACGTCGATGTTAAACTTTTCGTTGCAAGGGATTCAAAAAGCCTTCGCCACCAATGCAAATGCGTCTTCTCCACACCGTAGGTACATGCAACAAACGGTACGTGAGAGAAGAGGGGTTATTGGAGAATGTCCGGTTCGCTTACTTCCGCCAACAGTGTGGCGTCCCGAGACTTCTCATAGGATGAAAAAAGGCAGTAAGGATGGGTGGATAAATGTATTCCGAAGAAAACAAAGTAAATAGGCCTGAGCAAGGTTTGAAGACCAGCTCACGAGTACAAGGGCCTGACAAACCCAAAAGTGACCATCAAACATCAGATGGTCATAAAAGCAAAGCATTACAGTGTAAATACGCACATTAGGGTTCGCTTCCATCACCAGAGTGGCTCATCCGGATGACGACATTCGCCATATCTACTGCCCCATTTGCCCAGACAGATCATTGGTGGACAACAGACTGATCGAAGAAGCATGTCACACTGGATTTTATAGGTAAGGCACAATGGTTTCTCCTCAGAACAGCACATTACAATATCTGAAATGGAAAAATAATATGCAATTAAGGGTATTTAGAGGCGTCATACTTCTACGTAGACAGCACAGGGCACAGATTTCTATAATTGCAAACTTAAGTTGAATGATTGCTTTGAGCACTCACCATGGTCCAGTCACCTCCACCCTATCCTGACAATCATCGGTCCACCTTACTAAGGGGATCAAGGCGATAGCAGCGACGTGGAAGAGTGATAGGTTTGACTAAGTCAAACACAACTGAGTCAAAAGTCTGCGTTATGAAGCAACTCTACGCTGTTGCCTAATCCAAGAAGGAGAGGTGCATTCGCACACACTTTCCACATCTCCGTGTACAATGATGATACACGCGCCAACTCGCATGTGGGTGAGGAGACTTGCCACTCCCATTGTGCCTTACACTTTCACACCCACTTGACCATTTCACTCTTCCAGCACCATCACTCACACAAGGGGTAAGGCAACATGCACGCAGTCACAGTGGTGTTGGCGATGTTTTGCTCCCAACATGCATCTACCGCGGTGCCGAATATTTACTGCCAACACTGAAACGAATTTGAGGCTGCAGTTCTAAGGTGACTCTTGTCAAGTGCTGAAACCACCGCATAGCAAGTAATGTGTCGCTGTAAAAACGTAACCCGAAAGAGAGCGAATCAAGGCAAATAAAGTGAAACGTAAGAGCACCTTAATTCTGTTTAAGTTGATCAAATCTGACCTAGAAGGACGAAGATGATAAGCAGAGATGTTGTTGGCGTTGTTGTGGGCATGTTTGAAGGCGTTGGCATTTGCAATTGCACATGCGCATTCACTTGCTTGGTATTTATGTGTAGTGAGAGTGAGGGTTGCATCGTCGTTACATTGTTGCGAGTTCTCCTTCACAGTGTTGTTGTGGAGGGCTGTGAAGTAGAAGTTAGGAAATGTATGGAATTGTGAATGTATGGTTTGTGGTGGTCAATGGAGTCGATATTGGGCAGTGCGAAATGTGGGGAGCAGGTAGTGTTTTGTATGGGAAGCGAGGAGTGCGGAGTTGCGGCCAACATGAGTAAAGTGGTGGTGTTGAGAGGCAGTGGTGGTGTTGTCGGTGAGTGGATGATGGAGTGTGTGAAATGTGGGCGGAGAGGTGGGAGGGAGGCGGCAGGAGGTGGGAGAAGTAGTTGGGATGTGGGAGATGTGTTGTGGGTTGGGATGCGTTGTTTGACGTTGCAGGGTTGCAGCAAGGGGGGTGGTGTGAGTTGAGACAAGGAGTGGGATGAAGGGGGTGAGTGAGGTGTGGTGTGGGTGGTGGATGCTTGACGCTGGTTCTTCAAATTGTGGACGATGTCATTGAAAATTTGTTAATTTTGAAAGCGTTGGATGGAGGTGCTGCTGGTGATGGTGCTGGTGCTGGTACATTTGGTGTTCGGCGGTGGGCGTACAATTCTCACATTCACTTGTCGGATGTAAGTGACGTCAATGCGATGCTTTAACGTGACGCTCCAGTGAGCTAATTCTCACCTTGAGTGATCTGTACAACTCGACTGCACATCAAGACAGTGAAGACGTACGTCTAGACGTCTAGCCTTAATCACACCAAAGATGCACACGTCCGAACAGCCATCGAGACAGTGACAGAAGCAGTAAATCTGTCTTCCCTCGTTGCCTTGCGAACTCCACTCTCAACCGCTTGAAATACCCACTTTAGCTTTAATAAATATTCCTCTCCGTTTGCCTCTTTGCCACCCTTCCATTCGATAATCTCAGACTCCTCCCTTTTCGCATCGTTCCTCAAAGTGCCACCTCCACACCTGCCTCACCTCCGCACTGACCCTCCACTAACCCACATAGACACAACATCAAAACAGGTCGCCGTTTCGCCAACCACTCATTCATCTATTTATTCAACCAACTCCATTGCTAACATCTTCCATCCACGCCATCCTCAGTGCTTCTTCCGTAAAACACACGTACCGAGGTAGATAGGACAATATTCGTGATAGATTCGCTTGCATACCAAACCTTCACAACACAACGGTTTCCTCATGTCACAGAATAAACCCTTTCGTTTGCATTCTCGCTGACATGTCTCTGTCGTAACTGCAATGCATGCAAAATAGGAAACACGTAATTCCAATCGCTGCTGATGCTACCACCACCACCACCACCACCACCACATCCTATCAGTTTCGCGCACCACACATTCTCACTCCTCCTGACAGACGTTGACTATTTC